TTACTGACCCCATACTTTTGAATGGTAGTGTATAAACATATTTTAATTTAATAATAATACTTGTTTATTAATGTCTGATTGTAATTTTTAATGAATGACTAATTGTTTTTTAATGAATTATTGTTTATTTTAACTTGCGCTTCTTCTGAATGGACATTTCTGCTGTGTTAGCAAACTTGCATTCGGTCTGGCTCCATTCTGGTGTGTATCGCCCACTTTTCCCATCTAATTAATTCCCGACGGATAAAAATCAAGTCCCACCCTACATATTTTCTTATTTATTGTCATGTTTCACTCAAAACTACATCATATTGCACAAGTAAAATGGGTTGCAAATAACAGTTCGTGTTGATTTTAACTACAAAGAAACAAAGATCTGCAGTCTTCCTGGAGGAACTACTTTAGGACTGAAACATCACAATACAAGTGAACCACAACCTAAATGTAACTACCCATCCATCCCAGCTCTTTTACCTAGTTCTTCACCGATCTTCAGGGGGTGGCTTGACTACTTATCGCCTTCTAGAAATACCCAATGAGGAAGAGAGCAAGAGAACTGCTTTTCTCATGTCTGCATTGTTGGATCGGTCCCAATGAAAACTGTGTGTTTAGGCTGATGGAGTTATGAATGTTCTTTCTGGATGAAGCCCAGGAAGGCTTTTTATATGTTATTAATGGCTATAAGGCCTGTATTTGTTGGGAGAAGAAACTGTTTGAGTTGGACAGATGGGAGAGCAAAACAATCCAAAATGATAAAAATGCATGTAGGTTCAGATATATATTCAGTATTTATTTAAGATATACTGTATGGCCCATTGTGCCGTGCTTCTCAGAAACAGACGATTTTCCTTTTGTCCCTCTGAGATATCATATTTCTGCTATGTTTGGAAGATGATGTTTTTTTGATCCCTCAGCAGTTTGTTGTAATTTGCTCTTTAATTACATTGTATAATTTTCCTAGTATTATCTCTAGATGAGTATTCACAGTCCGGCATGTTTTCAGTTAAAATCACAGTGCGGCTGAGGATATGATTTCATTTAGATCGTTGACTTCACTGATGTTTAGTTAAACTGCTGCAGAGCTGAGCAGGCTTTATTTTTCCTACCTGCGTTTTACTGCTGAGGGGACACAGATCACAGCCTACGGCACATCCTGTAAGGAAACATGGGGAAGGAGTTTCAGGAGGGCAGGTGTGGGGGTGGAAGAGGCAGACGGAGCTGTGCTTGGGAAACGGTTCCAGTGAAGTTGTTTCGAAAGGGAACATAGTCAGAAATGCCCTTCACTGCTGACAAGAAAGTTGCCGTTTCCTCAGGTGTGAAGACACTGACATGTTTTTTCATATCACTTTTTGGGACTTCATGTTTTTACATCTGAGGTGGATATACACTTGGAAATACTTTTTGAAATATTAAAAGCGTATGTTTTAGCAGTGGCCATAATAGTAAATTCAAACAAATGAAATAGTAATATGCTGGATTTTGTTTTTATTTAGTGATTTATTTATATTAGGATTCAAATCTATATCCCTGTGGGAGCACCACAGCTCTAATGTGCCATGAACATGTGCGCTACTGCTATACCACGACTCCAACAGTAGTGGTTTATTGAATCATTGATTCTAATGAGACTCCTTGTCTTGTGTCTTTGTTATTTAGACCTGTAGAGTGGTTGTGGTTTATCTTTTAATTTTTGTAAACATTTCATCAGTGTCATTCATAATAGTGACCTCTAAGTGGTTGTACAACAGTAAACATCTTCAGGCAAGAGCTACATTGGCGTTTATACATCTGTGGTAAAAAAAAATTTGTTTTTATTAAAAAAAATAAAAGTTAGTTAACATGAGTAACAGCAATATACTTTAACGATGCTTTAATATTCTTAATAATTTTCTCTCATCACTAACACAGGCGTCAGGATAGAAATTTAGGGAAACTAATCTGCAAACATTGGACATAATCTTTATTGATGTAACCATGAGCGTGTTGAGGCGTGACCGACTTACATTTATGTCAACATCAATTCTGTATTTTGAGTCAAAACACCTTGATGAACACCATTCACATTTATTTATAAAAAGTCTTAAAGGTGCAGTAGCAAAAATGTATTTGCTAGTAATGCCATTTAAGTGGCCTTTAACAATCTTCAATTTATAGCTTGTGGTATAAACCACCTTGCACAGTTGGCACTTAGATGTTTAAGGTTGACATGGTATTTGTGTTTTTGATTTCATATAAAATATTTTGGCTGATTTGTTACTTCTCTTCTATGAAATAGTGTGTATTGGTTAGTTTAACAGTCATGTGATTAAGTGTCAATATACATTACTGTTAAAAAGTTTGGGGATAGTACAATTTTTAAAAAAGAAATTATTACACAATTGTTCGATTGTGATGGTAAATACTTTGTTCAAAAAATCTATTTAAAAAGAAAATCTGTTCTTTTAAGCTTTTTATTCATCAATCCTGCAATATTATTAAGCAGTTTTAAACATTGATAATAATAAGAAATGTTTCTTGAGCAACAAATCAGCATATTAGAATTATTCTGAAGGATCAAATTCAGCTTTGCCATGTCAGGAATAAATCACATTTAAAATATATTAAAATAGTAAACAGTTATTTAAAATTTTTATAATAATATTTCACAATATTGCTGTTTATTTTACTTCATTTTTGACCAAATAAACTTGGTGAGCTTAAAAGACTTTTACCGTCCACAAACTTTTGAGCGCTGGTATATATTTATTAAACCATGTACCGTTTTTCATAAATAGTAAAAGTTAATGTTTGATAAATGCATAGGTGAGCTATATGTATGCTAGACACCACTGACATCAATGTGGTGAATTTAGTGGGTATGAAACCAGGGCAGAGAGCAGTGACTCCAAAAGCAGCTCCTCCACACACACGGAAACACACAGATGCTTGAAGGATGGCAGTAAAGTCAGACAAAGCTCATGTTGTGTCTGCACTGGCGGAGTGTGTTTGTCTGGCAGGTCGCTCCAGCAGTCACCAGCTCCCAGTGGGGGACTTTGAGTATCTAACAACACACTGCAGTGTTCCTGTGTTTCTCCGCTTTTTGGAGCAGCACGGTGGAACTTCACTCTTATTTGGTGATCGGGTGGCTTGTTGATTTTGGCGGGTAACACTGAGGATACGTGCATATGTGTATGCATTTATAGCTGGTCCTATGCCATTTATAGCTTTCCCTGCAGTAACAGAAATAAACAGCACCCACAGACTGACAGACTGCACACTTTTGTCTCAGCCTGGATTCCTCAGTGGCAGAGATGTGATATTCCTGTGGCTCCGAGCCAGACAGACGGTCATATACCCCTGTCTCCACATTCTCAACATCTCTCTCACTCTTTGT